TTATTACTCTTACTGCATAAATGATGAATTGTCCTCAATATTAAATAAATATTAAATTATTACACATATTGAATAAGTATTGAATTATTATTACTATATTAAGCAAATATTGAATTATTGCACATATTAAATAAACTGTTTTATATATATGCAGTGGGGGGAAACAAATATTTGTATCCGTAAAATTTTTAATTTGTTGTATTTTTAACTAATGAATAAACATACTTTTCATATAATTATGAAAAGAAGGTTGAAATTCGTTCGTGAATATATGGATAAGGAAAAATCGTATTGGGAAAGAGTATTATGGACAGACGAAACCAAAATTGAGTTGTTTGTTCGTAATTCTAGAAATCATGTATGAAGGAAAGATGGCGATACCTTCAATCAAAAGAACACAGTTTCAACAGTGAAATTTGGTGGTGGCAGCATCATGTTTTGGGGATGTTTTTCTGCAAAAAGTACTGGCAACATATCAGTAATAGATGGTAGAATGAATGCCGCAACATATCAAAATATTTTGGAAGCAAATTTTATGATTTCGGTTGAAAATCTTGAACTTCCTCCTGATTGATTCGGCAAAATAATGATCCTAACCACGCTGCAAAATCTACGAAGAAATGGCTTGCTGAAAATAATGTAAATATCCTGAAATGGCGAAGTCAGACCCCAGATTTAAACACAATCGAGAATCTGTGGTGTTATTTGAAAATTCAGATCCAATCGAGAGCTCCAAGAAACATCCCAGATCTATTCATTAGTTGGAAATAGAATAAATTAATTTTTTTTAGGTGTACGAATATTTGTTTTATATATATATATATACATACATATATATATATATATATATATATATATATATATATAGAGAGAGAGAGAGAGAGAAGAGAGAGAGAGAGAGAGAAAGATACCAACACTGCATGGTGACAGAAGATCACATTGAATGTCATCAATGCAGCGTTGATTCCGATGTCCATACTAAACGCTTTGTCTGCGCTTTCGACTAGTCTTCCCCAATAGATATAGCTAATTTTAACAATATATATATATATATATATATATATATATATATATATATATATATATATATATATATATATATATATATATATATTTCTGTTTTGAAATAGATGAATTTTTTATTTTTAAAGTGTATTAGGTCTATCGGCCTGTGCACTCGGGGAAATCTTTTAATAAATACACTGTGCTATCAAACATATGTTTAAATTAAAAACAGCGCGTCTATTTCAAACACAGCTGTCCACTAAAAATAACTTGTCAAATAATATATATATATATATATATATATATATATATATATATATATATATAGGTAACTACACTCGTCTCGGAAAACCTTTGGTTTCTTGATTTGCTAATAATCAAATCAATTTCGAAGGAAAAAAAGGTTTTAAAAAAGAAAGAGCTAGGAACATGAACGTCTGTCGAAAATAAACTTACAGCATACAGGTCCAAAGCCCACGGAAAAAAACCCCGATACGAGTAATCAACTAACTAAAAAAGTGCTCAATACAAAAGTAGAGCAGACCTTGTCAAACCTAGAGATCCAGACAAACCTACCAAGCTTTGACCTAAACGGATCGTCAGGGAAAGCTTAGGTAAAACCTAAGGGGATCGTCAGGATCCGCTTAGGTGAAACCTTGGTAAGTTTGTTTGGCTCTCTAGGTTTTATATATATATATATATATATATATATATATATATATATATATATATATATATATATATATATAACTAGCAAAATAGTAGAGCCCGGCGTTGCCCTGGGATGTAACAGTAAGAGATAGATCAAGTATCGACCATCATAAAGACTGAAAAATAAAATTGACAAAGATTATTGTTTAAGGTTGACGGACACGCATGTCTTAATTATTATTTTTTTTTTTTACGAATTGGTCAAACCCAAACAAAAACATTTTTTTCAATCGTTATGAGTCTACCGATTGAATAGAATTTTATTATAAACAATTGTCTTTTAAATGGAATTTTTAAAGCATTCTGAATGTAAAAATAAAGAAAAAAGTGTGCAAGACAATAAGAAACACTACCTGCCAAAAAAAAGTGAAGTTTTGTTGAAATCGGTTGAAAAAATGTAGGAAATCCGATCCCATATATAAACGAACACACACACACACACACAAACAACCTGGGTTTTATAATAAGTATAACTCGATATGAGTTGTCCCCCTTTCATTCTCGCGTCAGCGATGCCTCTTAATCATGTTTTCAAATTGATTTCATGCAAAAACAATTGTGTTTTTTCCAATTTTTGGCGCTGTCAGAACCACCGCAAGATTTTGCGTAGTCCAGTGAAGTTTTGTTGAAATCGGTTGAAAAATGTAGGAAATCCGATCCAATATATTAGGTTGGTGCAAAAATAATGTCGTTTTCACATGTATGTTACTTTTATATATGATTTCTGAATTAATTCATTGATATATATAGCCATGTTATATATCTTTTTGAAGCGCGTTTTTCGCTCTATCGAATCATGTTATTCGTTACCATTCTCAATCTCTTCATTCATTTTTTTTGCGGGCTTTTCGACAGCATGGACAAAATTCAAATCCGCACGATTTTCTTGTTCCAGTTCAAACTAGGCCGAAAAAACTGCCGAGACAGCTCGTGATATCAATGATGCGTTTGGCCCAGGAACCACTAACGAACGTGTGGCACAACGGTGGTTCAAGAAATTTCGCAATGGTGACGAGAGCCTCGAAGATGAAGACGGTCGCGGCCGGCCGACTGCGGTTGATAACGAACCTTAATTGAAGCCGATCCTCGCAAAACCACACGAGAAGTTGCTGTTGAACTCGAGGTCGACCACTCAACAGTCATTCGCCATTTAAAGCAAATAGGGAAGTCAAAAAAGTTGGATAAATGGGTGCCGCATGAATTGAACGATAATCAAAAATCGTCGTTTTGAGGTGTCTTCACGCTCCTTCTGCGCAACAAAACGACCCATTTTTTGAGCGGATTGTGACGATGTGATGAGAAGTGGATCCTCTACGACAACCGGCGACGTTCGGCACAGTGGTTGGATGCCGGAGAAGCTCCACAACACTTCCCGAATCCGAAATTGCACCAAAAAAAGGTTATGGTGACTGTTTGGTGGTCTTGCAGCCAATCTCATCCATCACAGCTTCTTGAATCCGGGCGAAACGATTACGGCGAAGTACTGCTGACAAATTGACGAAATGCACCAGAAGCTCCAACGTATGTGCCCGAGATTGGTCAATATGAAGGGACCAATTCTCCTCCATGACAACGCTCGCCCGCATGTTGCTCAACTGACCCTGCAGAAGCTGAACGAATTGGGCTACGAGACTCTGCCTCATCCGCCATATTCACCGGACCTCTCGCCCACCGATTATCACTTTTTCAAAAGACGAGATGTTGCCGAATCGGCCTTCAATGACTTCATCGCTTCCAGAACTCCGGATTTTTATGCTAATGGGATAAATAAACTTGTTTTTCGTTGGCAAAAATGTGTCGATTCTAATGGTTCTTATTTCGATTAATAAAGTTTATTATGAAAGGAGTTATGATCTTTTGAAGTTGAACGTCAAAAAACGACATTATTTTTGCACCAACCTAATATAAACGAACAAACACACACAACCTGGGTTTTATAAGTATGATTACGAACAACAAAATTCAAGATACCACGCTACCCAGGTTTCGACCATTAGGTAGCTAGGATGAAAGATTTTAGTTGATTTCACTACCCATATTACAACCATAGTATCTCTTTTAGGCTTGAGAGCTATAGAAATTATACAAAATTGGCAAATTGTGTTTGGAGTTTAAAAGAAGTTAACAGTAGAGTCCCATACATAAACTGGAAAAGACTGGGGAGGAGTATGAACTGGCCGATAGGTGAGCCTCTCTACTTGTATTGGGGGAGGAGAGAAAATTAATTAGTAAATTAAAAAATAACTAGTGAATAAATTTCCTGTTCAAGCCCAGAGGTTAGGACTTATACAAGACTTCTACGTCTTGTATAAATTCTAACAAGATTTATGTTGTTAAATATATAAGTTATATACTTAAAAATATAAGTTATCTGTCTATATTTCTGAGATGAGGTATTATGTACAATATTTACATTATTCGGACTATTGTTCTCATCTTTGTTGCCATATTTATCACAACGTTTCGGCCTTTGTACGCTCCAGCCTTCTTTAGGTGGTTGAAATGTCGAACTGAACCCTTTATTTCGCTCGCTGGGGTAGACTGTTCTAGTTCCACGTGCCGTGTCTAATGGATGTCAGGCGGTGGAGAACTTGGAGAGGGGAATTAGCAGGAGATAACTGATAACTGACATCCATTGTCCTTTTAATAATCGCTTAACGCGAATTCTTCTAACGCTAGTAAAAATTTCAACGAATTTAGTCGCGTTAAACATCACTTGCGTTGATTCTGTGAGTTCGTTTCTATACCCAAGATGAACACGATATATAATTGTGCATTAATTAACACGGTATATATCTCAAGGAAGGATCTTCGGGTAAGGTAACAGATATCAATATGGAATCGGAGAGTTCAAATTCCAGGTTAATCTCTTTAGTACAAATACCCTTGGAGAATTACGGGCACATCACATTGGACACAATGGTTATCATGGTATGAAATTATCAAACCGAGTTCGAATTTCGGCTGAGACAACTTATGTTCACTTTACACGAACACCTTGGGGAAGGTATGAATTCACATCCCTGTGCTGCTTCTTAAAGCAAAATATATTGAGGAATTCATCTTATATCTTAAAATGGGTGATAGAGAGGTAAACTGGTGAGAGAATTCTAGCAAATCACTCTCCCATAATTATCTTCCACCCTGACAAATTCATTATCAAACTTTGACTGGAAGCAGTCGATCTTACCCCAAAATTGGCATAGATCATGACACCGAAGCGTTTTTTTTATTGATCAACAAACCTGGGGTGTTTCAATAAAGCGTCGTAGGGCTGCGCTAGGCGTACGATCACCGAAGTTAAGCAACGTTGAACCTGATCGGTACCTAGATGGGTGACCGCTTGGGAATAACAGGTGCTTTAACCATGAATGTGCGGATGGTGTAAAAGAATTTTTAATCGGAGAGCCAAGTTCCAATTCCCGTTAGGTCCGTTATGTGCACTTACGTGCAAATACCCTTGGGAAAGGTATTGATCCACTTTTTCTCTCCCCAGCTATGGGTTAATTAGTAAGACTTGTATCTCTAAATCATTATTATCTCCCCCCCCCAAAAAAATTCGTATAATCTAAAATATTTTCTGGCTTTAAATAACCTGCAAAGGTTTGATAAGCTGTAGAAAAAGAAACCATCAATCAATCAATCAATCAAATACCTTTAGGAAAGGCATGAATCCGACTGTTCTTGGCTTATGGCCACATCTCGTTGAAATACCGGTTCCTGTACGATCGCCGAAATTAAGCAACGTCGAGCCATGTCAGTACCTAGATGGGTGACCGCTTGGGAATAAGTACGGTAAACGTGGATGTGCGGGTGGTGTAATGGATGACGGCTTGGATTTGTTAATCGGAGAGCCGAGTTCCAATCCCCGTTAGGTTCGTTATATTCACTTAAGCACAAATAACCTCGGGAAAGGTATGAATCCGCTTCTTCTCCCCCAGATATAGGTTAATTAGTAAGACTGGTATCATTGAATCATTATTATCTCCCCCAACCCCCAAAAAAGGTGTAGTAAACGAATACATCAATCAATCAAATGCCATTAGGAAAAGCATGAATCTGACTCTTCTCCATTCAGCTATGGGTTAAATATCAGAGTAGAGTGGACTTTCTAGCCTTGATTGCAAAGATGGCGGAGAATCATGGTCTATGTCCTGAAAGAATAAAGAATTCAAAAATATTTTACAGTGTAATTATATCAAGTGTATTCTTATATGTAGTGGTGTGCGTAGCGTAGCGGTTGACGGTGCATAAAATGGAATTATCGAGCCAAGATCAAATTCAAGCCACGGCTGTTGGATTCAATTTCAAACAAATGTCCTTGGAAAATCTATGAATCCGTCCCCTTCTCAGTTACAGGTAATATAGTACTGGATGGTAAAACAATCAATTAAATATCCTTCTGAAAGGCATGAAACGGACACAACACGTTAAAGCACCGTTTACCTTACGATCCCTGAAGTTAAGCAACGTCGAGCTTGGTCTGTACCTAGATTTGGGAATAACAGTGGCTGTAAGCTTAGATATGTGGGTGAATTCCAGTAACGTGGCGAAGGCAGCGTGGAACCGCTCTACTTCTTTATTTCTATGTGCCGTGTCCTTTCAGGACGTAGGCGATCATGGCTCTCCACCTCTTCCTCTATCCCTTGCAGCTCTCAACAAGTTCCTTCCCTCTGCCACTTCCCCCAAACCACGTTCTGTCATCCACTTGCTTAAGGCCGCTAAATATGTCATGCGTTGTTTTCCCTTGTCTCTCTTTCTCTCTATTCGACTCGTGAGTATCAGATTCTCCAGGCCCTCTTTCCTCATTATGTGTCCCAGAAATTTCAGCTGCCTCTTTCTGATGTTAAATATAAGCTTCCTCCTTGTTTGCATCCTCTCCAAAACCTCATCGTTGCTCACACGCTCACTCCATGATATCCTCAGCATCCTTCTGTAGAACCACATCTCCGTCGCCTCGAGTCTCTTCTTCATCTTTGAGGAAAGCGTCCAACATTCTTAATAACGCACGACAGTTCACTGATAGTAAAGAAAAGGAACCTGTGGAGAGCCGTAATCACCTACGTCCTGGAAGGGATAATGAAATTTGAAGGAAAAAATGTATATGCGCGCACACGTTTTAGTGGGTGTGTTAAAGAAAAATCTTGTCTGGGGAGTGAGGACTTTTGCTTTCATTTATTTGCAGGTGTGCGAATTAAAAATCTGTGTGAATGGACGTGTGAGTGTGTATGTGTGTGCGCGCGCGCGCACGTGTGTGTATCTGTACGTGAGTGTGGATGTCGAAGATAGAGGGAGACTGTGCGTATGTGTGTGCGTGCCCGTGTCTGTCTGCGTATGTGTGTGTGTGTATAATAGGAAGAAGGGGAGGACGTGACCGGTATAAGATACAAGTAAGGCGCTAATCCTAAAACCTTTAGTGCAGATATCATTCTCCAAATCTTTGGATTGGTGGGGCCAGTGCGTAACCCGACCCACGAGAGTTAAAGAGAGAGAGAGAGAGAGAGAGAGCGAGCGAGAGAGCGGTGGTAAGGGGCAGGGTTGTAGTCGTTGTTACTTCTACTTATCTTTTTATTTATTTATTAGGTTTTTTTTTTATTTATTGTTTTTTGGGCTTTTTTATCGCTAGCGGTAGAGGTGGAGGTTGCGAGATCAAATACAAGCAATGTTTGATTCTTGGAAGTTCACGAGGGTCGGGGTTTTGAAGGGGAGGAGGTTCTAGGTAGGGTGGTGTATGAAAGGGATATGGTCTGACTGCCGATTTGATGGAGGCGGTCGGCCAGAGAAAGATGAACGAACTTTCGCAGAATTCTCGCTCGGCACACGTCAGAACTGATTATTCCCGATACGTAGTTTTTCTGGTTCAAAACTGGAAGAAAAAAAATGTGGGGGTGAAAACTAAGGTTTTAAAATATTATTTTTGAGGGTGGGGCACCCCAAAAAAAAAAAAGAAAAGAAAAAAAACACAAGGCATATCAACAGAAAAACGTAAAAGGTAAAGAAAACATTGCGAAAAAAAATTAAATTTCGAATCAAAGAATGCGTTAGTTTTTGTTTTTGTTTTTGTTTCGTCAAAGTGAAAAAAAAGAGACCATTGGTAGTATCTGTATTTGTTTGTTTGTTTATATATATATATATATATATATATATATATATATATATATATATATATATATATATATATATATATATATATAGATGCCATACCCATTCAGGAAGTAGGCGATCATAGCTATACAGATTTCTTTATTATGCGTGAATTGCCAAGATTTCTTGGGGAAAGATAATAGATTGATTGGAACGCGCCTCTCAAAGAGAAACGCGCCTCTCCAAGATATAATCGTATTTTTGACGTTTTTCTTCTTCTTTTTTTTTTTTAATTTTTTATTTTCATTTTTCTACCGAATAATCACTCCAGGTAACGAAATAAAAAAAAATCTTTTTTTAATTATCTAAAACTTTAATAGGTGTCTAGTTTGCTATGTTAATTGTTTGCTATGTAAGTAAAAACTGATCCTCCCACACAAGCTCCAAAATACGCTCATATCACGCGATTAAGTATATTTTGCTAGTTACAAAATTTTAAATAACGTCAAGTTAAAACAAGAAAAAATGTTAATATTTATTAACTACTTGAAGACAGTGCCGGATAGGTTCAGGCTCAGGTTTTCCTACTCTTATTTAAAAAATGGTTTTAAAAATTGAATAATATTATTCTAATTTAGTTTTATGATAATTCTTTTTTTATTTTACATTTGTAAGTATTGTTAGGTACATATGATTGTATTCGACATCCTTATGGGGTCGCAATCGCCGAATGTTAGTGTCAAATTGTCGTATGTTTGCGGTGAGTAGACATTTCAGGCCTGCTGAGCCTAGGGCTTCAAAATCTAGGAGGCCTCCAGAAAAGGTGTATAATATTTTTTGACACTTTCATATGCCTTTCTTACACATGCTGTCATAACGTATTGTAGACTCTTCAGTAATTTTAATCATCCTCGGTTTTACTCAAATTGTAGAATTTAACACTCTTCCATTTTCCCTCTATGCGTTAGAATGCGGGATTTGGAGGGTCTTCACAAGTGGAATAGCTTAGGGCCTCTCTTCATCAAAATGCGACCCTGCTTGTTGGTTATCTGTCGCTAATTTTTAAATTAATTTTCCAACTTTTTGACAAATACAGATGTTTAAAAATATACTATCCCAAAGAATCATTTAGCGGTCTGAAAAAAAAAATTAATTAAAAACATTTTTAAATATTACATATAACTTTATAAAAGATCACTAATACATAAATTAAAATGACCCACAGGAAAGAGCATTTTTAAAAGTGGTGACAGATAACCCATAAGTACCATTTATGGTATGTTTTGCTTTGCTTTGGTTTGGTTTGGTTTACGGCACATCAACCTCAATGGGTTATTTAATGCCAACAAGATTTTTATTATCTATCCATATTATGATTACTTGTATTATTTACATTATTTGGACTGTTACCCTCATCTTCATTGCCATATTCACAACGTAATAAGGAGTGCTAGAGAGAAGCAATGAATAACAACAACAAAATTGCAGTATATGCTCTGGTAAAAAATGTAATAATAATAACAAAAAAATTTCAATATGAGCACTGGTAAAACATGGTTTCTGAGACATTAGGTTTATAAGTCCCAAAAATTCACACACGCAGATGTCCTCAAGTTTGGTTAGATCCAGTGACTAGACCCAAAGAGTTGTGAGTTCAATACCAGGCCACAGCAGTTGTGAACCAAAATTTGGAGAGTTGAGTTGAATGGAAAATAACTGAGATAACTGCTGGAAGAGGCACGGCACGTGGAACTAGAACAATCTACTCCGGTGGACGAAATAAAGGTTTCGGTTCGAAATTCCAATCACCTGAAGAAGGCCAAAACGTTGTAAATATGGCAATGTACATGAGGAATAATGTAAATAATTCTAAAAACTATTTCTGGTATTTTTTTTTTTTTTTTTTTTTTACAAAAATGTATTGCTGGTAATATTTTATCAAAAAAATGTATCGCTGGTAATAACGTATTGCTGGTAATTTTTCTTCAAAAATTTGTTGCTGGTAATAATTTTTCACAAAAATGTATTGCCGTTATCAAAACCTATTTTTACACATTCACAGCGTTCTGACCCCAGCTAGGACCCTAACAAGTTCTACCACTCCGGGTCAGGGTGGACCTGGGAAAACCAGCAATTAAGAGGTGGTTCCACGCTCCTCAAAACCTCCTGATCATAGGCCATGCTGTCGGATGTAGTTTATCATCTTACCCAGGATGCGAGTGTATTTATTATTATTCTATTTAAAACATAGTCTTGCTTACCTTTTCCTGTGTTGCGTTAAAATAATGCTTGCTTAAAAATTTCAATTAATTTCAAAAGTCGCGAAATATGAACCTAAAATCGGTGCCTCCAAAGAAAAGCGATTCCAAAGGGTTTTTTTAAAATGAATTTTTAAAAAATGAATTTTTAAAAAATGAAAAATCTTTCTTAACGCTGTTATTTTAGTTTTAATTTCAAGCTAATAAATTTAATATTTCCAACAGGCAAGATCCTTTGATATATTTCAAAACTAATTTTTTAAATTGATTGGAATTATTTGCTTTTTTTTTTTTTTAATCGCTAAAAATCACTGATTTTTTTAGTTTTATTTACAATTCTTTCTACTCAGCGTAATCCGCTTCGTTAAATTTCTTTTTCAAAAATAAAATATACTTTTCTTAAACTTTATTTGAAGAAGATTAGCTTAGATTAGATTTAAAGTTTA